TTATTCTTATTGCCGATTTTACTATTTATGGAATGACTAGGAAATATCACATGACAAAACAATTTTTATTGCATTTTGATTGGAAATTTTTTCCAAAATTCGTCATTGTGGTGCAGTAATTTGCGGGATTAGGTGTCCTGCACTGTATATATAGGAATTAACGTATTTCTTATACGGGTTTGAAAAATTGCCCTTTTTCAGATTGTGAAGTAATATTAATACGGTACGGATTAGGTAGGAATCTGAAAAGGTGCTAGTAAGTTTTCGATTCTCGCATATAAGGCACAGAATTTATAACATGCTGTTTGTATTCATTTTAAATTTATTATGTATGTTTGCAATTACAATTAGTGAGTGGGTATTATAATATTAGTATAACCCTTGTTTCAATAGATAATAATAATAATAATAATTAAATTCGTGTTTTCAACGGATTTTAAAAACCCTTGTTACTATACACATTATAATTACATACCAGCCGATTTGGTTATTTGGATCCTTTTTTCAAACCTTATATCTTATTGTGTTCTGACGTTAAACACGTTAACATGATGTATAAACTGGTCAATAGAATGATAATTAGCCCCAAAAAATTTATTTGCTTCGCTAAAAAAACCATTCTACTGTTCGATATCCCATCAAGCCAATGGCCTCACTTCAAAACAATGGGTTTTTGCTTGTATAAAGTATTCATAACGTTATGTTATCGGGCAAACAGCACTATTAAGCTATTTTTGGTTGCTTTGTTATTTTAGGTACAAAATTACGTCAATATGATTGATATATTATTTATACAACATTTCTATAAATCATTTATTTATATTAATTATTCAATTATGTCATATACATTTCCATCATTTCATTGTGATAGTAAAGGTATAATATAAATTAAATTGGAGTGGATAAATAATAAATATAGTATTAGAATAGAAAATAAATAAATAAACAATACCTTTCCTTTTTGGCATATAAAATATAATAATAAAAGAAAAAATGTAAAACGAGCATATCTATGTAGTAAAAAAATCAATATTATTAATATAATTAAACTTTAATAAACGGTAACGTTTGAAAGTATAGCTTAATAGTGATTGCCCGATAACATCGATATCGGGTACTGGATTTTGGGTTCAAATAACATCAGCGCATATGCATTATTAATATAATAATAATAAAAACATAAAAATCCGTTGTGGCAAGACTACTAATCTTGCCACAACGGATTTTAAATTATTTGCCTCGTTCATCTGTTGTGACAAGATTTGACTATATGAAACTGTCATCTATTTTATTAGCCAAAACCGCTAAATGCCAACACTGTCTGTCTATGTGTAATCTGCCTTGAAGAACATTTTTAGAAACCACACTCACTTTAAAAAATTTTCCTTTAAGGTTCAAATCATGGTTGCTTGCCAAAACTCATCCAGAAATCAATCGGCAGAGGTTCGGCAAATTACATACTAATTTTTTATTAGATTTTCAGCAGAATTTCGAATTTGGGGTTTTTGGCAATTGGCAGAGTTTCGGTAAAGTTTCAGCAGTCACCAAGAAGTTTTGCCAAGCAACCTTAGTTCAGATGCAGACCTATCTCTTTCTCTAAATCTGATTTTTGACAACGGGTCTCCTCACCTTCCTATATGATTCTCCGAGTCCTGATGTTAGTATTAATATAAAATGGAAAATAATCTTGGAGCTTAAATTTTTTGACTGAAGTTTTCAGCTCACAATTTCTATTAACATATGTACAGTACATACGTTACATGCAATTTGATTCATTCATTCACAAAAATTTAAGGCTCTCGCTTTTTTTTTAATATTGTAACACCATTTTAAATAGCTGTAACTTTACGTAGTAGTAGAGAGCCCCTTTCGTTACAAAAATCATTTATTAGAAAGTTTTGGATGGTTTGTTTTTTTACTTTGCTTTAATGTTAAAGTTTGAGTTTATTATGAAAATAATGAAAGTTCAAAAATTTCACTCATTATTACTTATTAGGTAATTGATGTCACACGACCGATTTGATGTACACACGTGGGAGTGTAACGTGCTTTAAATGAGAAATTTATTTTTATGTTTCCAAAGTAACTTATTCTTTTTTTTATTTTAAAAAAATTTTATTGATAAATAAAAATGTCTGTTGATGATTTATCAACTGTGGAAGAATGGATCAACACAAAAGATGGTGTTCCATTATACACTAAAACATGGAAGGTACAAAGAAAATGTTTACTATCTTTAATATATTTGTTTTAAATAATGCAGTATATTTTATTAATAATTTCTTCTTAATTTTAATTTTCCTAAAAAAAAAAAACTGAAGTCAGTGAGTGAATCGCCAGTAGCAACTGTGGTATTTTTGCATGGTTTTGGTGAACATATAAATCGATATAATCATGTATTTGAAAAGTTTCAATTAAAGAACATCGAAGTTTATGCATTTGATCAACGTGGTTTTGGTAATACTGCTGTAAAAAATAAAAATCCTGGTATTAGTGGTGGTTGGAAAGTTTCTATGGTTGATATAACAGAAGCTTTGATTAGAAAAAGAAGAAAAGGCACACCACAATTCTTATTTGGTCATAGTATGGTAAGTTAAAATCAAAAAAGGAAAAAAAAATTTAATCTTGTTTAAATAATTAATATTTTTTTTTTTTTTGCTTTTTTCTCTCTTTCTCACTCTTTCCCTCTTTATTTTTACATGTGAGTTGAGTAGGGGGGTGCTCTAGCGTTAAATTATGCTTGTGAAGGATCAGAAAAAAATAATTTAGCTGGTGTAATTTCATCTTCACCTTTGGTAAGTCAAGCTGTCCAAACAAAATCCTCACCATCAGTTGTGACAATTGGTAGTGCTCTTAGTAGAATTTTACCAGGTTTGACCATACCTGTCGATTTGAATTCGAACTATCTTAGTAAAGATCCTGGAGTAGTGGAAAGTTATTCAAATGACCCTTTAGTTCATGGTATGGGGTCTTTACTTACTCGTAAGTAAACGATAGCAATGATGCTACTATTATTATTATTATCATTATTATTATTAACAGCAGTAATCGCTAGTAATAATTATTTAATTCTAACCAAAAATTATATTGTATTTTCAATTATTCAAATCAATAAAAACAGTTAATGATATGTTAAAAGGTGGAGAATATATTTTAAAAAATAATTATAAGAATATAACAATCCCAATTTATATTTCTCATGGGTCTGGTGATCTAATTACTTGTCCTAATACTTCAAAACAGTTGTATGAAAAGATTCCAGCAACTGACAAAACTTTCCACGAATGGCCCGGATGTTATCATGAACGTGTGTATTCTCATTTTAATAAAATTATTCAATTTTTTACTTTAAGAAACTACTCCTTAAAATTTCCTAATTTTCAAATTAAATAGCACACAATGAACCTGAAAAAGATCAAGTGATTGAAGGTTGGATTCAATGGATTCTTGATCATGCTAAGAATGGTCACACCGAAGACAGTCAAACAACTCAAACTATTCAAAGTACTATGAACGTTGGTTTAGCTTCAGCATAAAATAATCGTAATCATAATCATAATCATAATCATAATCATAGCCATAGACATAATCATAACCATTGTTATTATTGTATATTATTATGTTATTTTTTTTATTTGCGTGTTAGAATATATTTTGATTTAATTTGATATTTTTAAAACATTCCTTTTTTAAAGATGAAAATGAATTTCTCTTGAGATAATAAATACTATCATGCCATCAATTAAAAATTAAAGATTCTTCAAATAACAAACATACCAATCCGGTGTTGATTGGTCGACCACCAGCCAATTGATGACATTCTTAGATGATGATGATATTGTGATGACTTCTTTTCTATTTTTAATACTATGAAAAGATATATGATAAGTAATAATAACAGTAATAGCAGTGGTGGTCATTGTTGGTATTAAAGATGATTATAAAATTTACATTAACAGCAGGTTCGCTAATGTACTATCATCGTCCCAACATCCTTCCTTTCTTTTTCTTCATGTTCAACAATTTTTTTGGCAAATTTATTTTTGGAACCATAGTGATAATAGTATATATATATATAAATGGGCACACAGACAAAATGAACTTATTATTATTATTATTATTATTACATCACAAAGAAATTTCACGATTCAAAGTATTAGAAATTTGTCAATGCCACAACTTTTGTAGTAGTTTTTGTCTTGTGTTTTATTTCCATCGCTTCTTGCTTAATCGTTCAAAAATAATAAGATAATTAACCCAAAAATATAAGTTAGGCTGTTCTCTTTTGTTGCCTAGTACCTTATTTTATTAGCTATTCTCGTATATTCTCTTCGTCTATGCTTTCTTGTAGATGATAAAAAATTTTCTTTTCTAAAGGCACAAGATGCATTACGACTCTGAAATGTGATTCGCTCATTTTCCCTCGAAAGAAAAGTAAATTATAATATTTATTTATTACCACCACTATCTTATCTCCTTTCCAAATTCTTCGTTACTAATATTATTCGTTCAACACCAACATTATTCCATTTCCAACAACTTTCAAATCCCTTCGTGCGTTTGTTTCCCTTCATATCAAATTACAGGCTGGAAACATTCATCCTAATCACAGACAATTTTCTTTTTTTCTGAGAAATTACCTTGATGAAACAATGGAGACAATTAATGTTGTTATTTATCATATACTATTTGTATTCTTGAGTTTGTAAATGATCATAATTAAAATTGCATAATCCAAGTTAAGATCATTCAAAAATGAAAACTTTTAAGGAACCAAATTTGAAAAAAAAAAATGTCCTAACAAGTAAAGATGAGAAATTTTGGAAAGTTTGGAAATAATCCCTTGATGAATTTTAACACTTCTTTCCGTGTAGTACAAGAGTCACACCCAAGTAGTGATGAATGAAAAGGTTCTAGTGGCTAAGTCTCTACTTGGGTCCCAATTGTACACATTTTATAAATTGTAGAGTTCCTTAAAAACCATTTCTGAAAATAAAAAATGAATAATATTAAATCTAATCTAACAAACAATCTAACAAACATGTTAAATTTGTCTGTCCAGATTCCCTCTTCGTAAACCTATATTAAGTTTAGAGTGACAGGTTAGTTGTACAACTAGGTAGTGATGGGAATTTTTAACCCTACACTTAATAACTCCAAGTTATTAATAGTTAATAACCACTTATTAACTGTTGCACTCTGAGTGAGAGTTATTAATCCAAA